CCTGTGTGCTCGTTTTGTATCTTTAATACCCGTTTTAAACGAACCTTTTAGTAAAAAAGAAGGAAAAAAAAAAAAAAGAAACCCCCCCCCCAAAAAAAATATCAACGCAGGAAATAAAGGACCCTCCCATCCAACCGCATTTGTTGTAGTCGGAGTAGCTTTTTTGTATATGAATACAGTCAGAGCGGGTTTTTTTCTTTATTTACAGAAGGTGAAGTCTCTCTTTGGCAGGATCAAGAACTGAAGCGGTATATATATATTGTTATTGCTGAAGCTGAACTTTAACGAACCTTCTACACTGTATTTCCCAGTTGAGATAGTGTGTATTTATTATTGTAGCTCCGCGTTATTTGGCTTTTAATACAGAGGTTTTCTTTCTGGAGCCACCGTAGCCTTTTGTCGGTCTGTTTTCGCCAGGGTGGAACGGAGGGTTTGGCCGATTTCCCCACCTGCAAACTGGCTGCGAAGCTCCTTTCCCCGCGAGATGATATTGCTAGGGTTGGTGGTGGAAAAAGGGGAATCCCAAACCCTTTCTGAACGGTGTTTGTCCTGTCCTTACAGTCGATTTGGGTCTATATGCTTACATCAGGGTGGGATGGGATGGGGAACGTGTCTGTGCCAGAGATCCTCCAAGGCGATTTACTTAGCACCGCTCCACAGGCTGTGGCTTTCTCCTTGATTTGCGGTCGGGTGGTTTTGGTCCTGGGAAGATGAGGCCCCTCTTTGAGATGTGTTAAAAGCAGCCCGGGGGCGAGTCTCTGACTTCCACAAAGTGCATTCCTCAAAAACAACTCAGATGCGCTGTATTTGTTGAAGGCACAGTAATATTGTACCTCTTTTTCATCTACCAGCCCACAGGGTTGCTCACAGAAAGCCTGTCGGGTGGAGAGAAGCCAGGAGCTGCCGGTCCAGAACTAGATTACGGCTGCCACTGTGCAAGCGTGCAAGGAAGAAAGATTTGCAAGGTTTTCTTCTTTTGTTAAAGCAGACAGTTGCATAGCCTGAAATACCATTTGTTGTATACTTCCAACTGTTTAGCCTTATAAGAAGTGGTTTCGTTTGCCTTAGACGCGATTAGTCCAGCTGAAGTTTCTAAAACCAAAATGTGAACCAAGTGAGAAAGATCTGCAATAGGAATTCTCAGTCCTTTGCCAACATCAGTGTATTTAATTTGTTAGGGACATATGAACTCACTCGAGGCTAATTTGGTGTATTTGTAATGTTGTTTTCTTCCCTATGTTTGGTGGAAATGACTGGATGAAAAGTCTGGAAGGATTAAATTCTTAGCATTCCTATTTTTTTAATTGAGAACAAAATAAAATAAATGCATGCTCTATGTGTATGCTATCTGGAAAAAAATGCAGAGGGAAAAAGATTGACAAACAGCAGAAATAAATCAAGATTTTAAAATGTTCCATGTTACTGGGCTACCTCTACACCCACTGTTTCTCCTATTGATCTTAATGAGCACGTCACTTGAGTAAACATTGCAGTAGTGTTGTTTTCAGAAAGCAGAGGATCCAGTCCCTGTGAGAAACGTTAATTTGACCTGTTGATCCGAAGGGCACCTTCCCCTGTATGCTTAGTTTACAGAGCCCCGCTTTTCTTTCCTTGATGTGAAAAAGTGTCGTTTCCACCTTGTGCAAATTCTTTTGCACAAAAATGCGACATGCTAGAGAGCAGTTACTCGCCTATAATGCCCTGTCTGACAGAGGAGCCTCTTCGTACTGAAAAGCAAGGCTAGCAAGAGAACATGAAGCTAATGTTAACACCCTCCTGAAAGAGAAATGCTCTACATATGGAATAACCTCAGAAGAGTTGCCATGCCAGAAAATAATTTCTTCCTTTAAATTAAGATATATTTAGGCAGAGAGTTTCTTCTTTTGAATGAGATATATTTAGGCAGAGAGTTAAGAACTTTTGTTGGAAGTTTTTGCTGGCTTTGTAGTGTACAGTGCATAGTAGTCACTGTGATCCAGGGAGCCTGTGCTTAAACTCAAGGTTGGAATCTCTTTTTTGCTTATCCTAGTTTCACCAGTGACATGCCATTGTTTTTTTCTTGAATTGCATCAACATAAGCAAGATAATGGCATTACTGTCTGAAACAGGCAGCTTCAGTTATTAAAGGTTTCTTATTTGCAGTTCTTACAGACGTCTGCTAAGAACAGTAAAGCTGGTACAGCATGGTTTTGGGGTATGTCTTCTAACTTCTACCAATATCAGCTTGAATATAAACCTTGTGAACAGGCAACGCCATTCTCAGTAAATTTTGCTGCTTCACTTACAAAGTGTGATAGAAGAGAGGGATTTGCTTATAGTTCTTCTAGAAATATGCTTGTAAGCGGAGCTGCTATTAAAAATCTGCTAAAACGTGAAATGTTTAAAACACAGGGATGGCATTAAAAAAACCCCAAACAAACCCCAAAGACAATTCTTGTCCAGAATACAAAAACCCGCAACATTTTCAGGGAGTACTGATCTCAGGTACAAAGTGCAAAGAGCACTTCTGAGGTAGGGAAGGTGTTTCCTTAGAGTGCAGTGACCATTGGAGTAAGCGCATTCCCTTCGTAGAGGGAGGACAGCCCGTGTTTCTGTGCCTTAAAGAGTACTTTACGAGTACTTTAAGGCAGAGCAGAGGGCACAGAGGTTACCTGATGTACAGGGTTTAGCTTGGACCAGACTCCCTGAACCCTCCGGTTTTGGTGAGGTGGCAGCAGGGTTTCTCCTGTAAAGAACAGAGAACGGGAATGCATTCTGCAGACAGTGAGCTTTCTTCAGTCACTAACACACCTAACACCAGTAACCCTGCTCCCATAGCTGTGGCTGCCACTATGACTCTAAGTAACCGATAATTTTGAGTAGCAGAAGGCACACATAACTTTCGCCCACATCCATGGCAATTTCATCTGCATTAAACCCAGAAGATTCAAGCCCAGAGCAATGTGAACCGATACATCTCCACACTGGTTAGTTGTAGATTTCAACTTGAGACACCAAAGTGTCTATTTATTTTCTTTGGCAGTGGAATTTTATTGTCTCTTTACTGGGGATGATTCTAAGCCATTTTTATTCATTTGGATTTATTTTTAAAACCAGTTGGTAGCAGGGTCAGCACAAGAGCGGGATTAGTCACCATATATCATGCTTCATATACTCAGGGAGGGCATATATATGCATACATCTATACATGAGGACTTACTGTGTACAACAGAAAGTCAAAACAAAAGGGAGAAGAAGGATGGTGAGAAACAAATAGTACTGAACAAGTAATACTGGTTTTCCTTCACTAACTATTTGTTGGATCGTGTTTCCTGGTAAGTTATCCTGACTTTATTTACGTGCATGTGTTTGTTGGAAAGCAAGGGATACCTAGAAACAGAGGTCGCTTCTGAATTTCCTTTTTATGTAATTGAAGTATATTACAGATTTTTTTTCCAGGAACTTTCTCCAGAGAGAGATTCAGCATTAGAAGGTACTAGGCTTGTATGCTACTGTTAGACTGGTACATTTTTTGCTGTATATTCAGACCTCAGAACTGGATCTCTCTCCCTTGCATACTTCTTCAGTTACGTCTAATAGATATATTAGAAGCAGAAGTATACAGATGAATATGTAGTTTTAGCATGGACACAGTCTTGCTGTTATTTAGTGCCACATTGATTCCCACAATGAAAGTATAAAAATGTAGTACAGTATAATAATAATTACATATTATGTAAGCATACTGTTGTTCAATACGTTATCAGTAATCAAGAGCAGTTTTGTATGTCAGGAGGTGCGTGGATATTTGGGGGAAAATTGCCATACTTGGATAAACGTGAGAGTTGCTACTTATTCGGGGCTTAGTTCACCAGTGCTTTTGATGATTAATATGACTGCAACAGCAGTACTATTTGTGGCGTGAATATTACTCAATATGAGTAAGGGCTACGGAACCAGGCCCTAAAAATACTAATTAAAAGCCTTACTTGGCTGAGTAAGTATTATTCATCATGACCTCCGCTTGCTGAATAAAAGTATCTCCAGGGCTGACATTACGTGATTCCAGGGGCTGAAGAAAAGCCAAATGAAATCAAATAGTTAAGTTAATTGAAGTTTTGTATGACTAAATATCAAAG